CGACAGCTCGATTATTCGACCTGGATCAGGCCAAAATGAAACTGAAGAACGCAAAAGATCAAGAAGACGCAACAAATCCTGCAAACAGAGAGACCTGTCGATGAAATCATACATGATGTGTTTCAAATTTCCACAGGCATGAGAAGAAATGACAGTTTGGTAACAAAAAAGGGAGGGTTATGATTACTCTGTCTAGAACAACTCTATCATTGAATAGATGAAAATTCCAGCTCAAAAGGATACAACAAACTGGGCTTACTATTCCAAGCTTGCTCAGAACAGCATACCCTACACAACAACAAGAAGAAGCAAACTCAACTCTTCTCACAAAACTCAATAACAACAACAATCACCAATGCCGGGGAGAAAAGAAATCACTACCAAAAAATCTCTCTTCTATTACTACAATGGCTGCTGCTAAGCTAAACCCAGCAACAGCAGATAGCTCAGGCCTTAGAGTCAAACAAAGACCAACAAGTTCTAGACGCCCTTATAGCCAAATGGGTAAAAAAAAATTGGTCATGATTGATTGCTCCCCGTCGAGGGGGGGAGCAAAGAATGGAGAACTCTACTTCTGCTACTCCAATCTAAGCCACAAAACTGCAGAGGACTAAAAACGCCTTCTCAAAGCACTAGGCCAACTTTCTCTGGTGAGACGACGACAGGCGAAGGATGGGCGATTAGAGGTTCATAGTGATCAGCTCCAGCCACTGACCATCCTGCATTGCATCACACGAGCGAAAATATAAGATTTCGATAGAGTTAAATACCGTTTTTCTCGTCCAAAACTCGTAGGCATAGGAGCAAGCAAGGCAACACAAACGTAAGGCAACACCATTATTTTTACCTGTTCCTTTCATGAACAAAAAGAAGGGAGGATGACAAATTTCGCTTCTCGGACGATGAGGGAGGAAGAACACACAATGGTCCTCGTCGACCATGGCATCTGATCCATGCGCTTGAACCTGCAGCAGAACACGTGGAATTACTAAGACTTGTTCAAAGAGATTCAAAAACGGATCTTTACACTATTCTTTTTCATCATCAATAATCCCATATAGAGAACTTGACTGGTTGAGAATGCATCTCTATACTATTTTCTCTATCATCAATCAGACAATCACACATGAGAACTGACCAAAAAAGGGATCAGAGACTAGAGGATAGAGGGTTTACCACGAAGATCTCGCGCTTGAACTCGGTGGCGATACACTCTATGGCAATGTCATCCCCAAATGCTGCGGCATGGCCTTCTCTGTTCTCCTCTACTGATAACAAACCTTCTTCGGTGTATTGCAAGGTGATTATGTCGTGTTCATCTTCTGGTGAACCAGAGATCGCCATGTACTTCGCCCAGCTCGCCCCATCATTCACTGGAATACACCTCTCTTTGTATATCGACTCCTCCGCCAACGGCCTTCACACAAACATCAAACGTTCATGTCAGCATTTGCAGAACATACAATGCATCATGAATTCAAGCTTTGCATCACACAGACCAACCAAACAACACCACATCGAGTATCCATATGAACACAATTCGTGAGAACATCTAGTCCATCCTTGATTCGAACTCTAGACAATGAAAAGACCAATCACGCAATACAAAATCACTGCATCTAACATTTCGTCGCAAAGAAATAACCACACCATTCAGGATATGAAGTACCGGAAATCAGAAATACCAATCAAACCATATAAACCACAATCAAATATCCGTATCAACCGTTCATCAAACATTCACCACATCCTAGATTCAGACGTTTCGCAATTGAAATAGGGCAATCGACGGAAGAGGGGGAAATGGGGAAATGAGTTTCATTTCGATAGAGAAAGAAAGTTTATACCTTTGCATACCAAGCTGGACTAACTCGTCGATGCCGGAATCAAGATTCGAGCGGTCGTCTTTCTTGGCCAAGAGTTTGACCTCCTGAACGATATGGATCCCCCACCCGTTATTCAGATCCGGCGAGTACATATGCCGAATCGCGTCGTTGATAACCGATTTCTCATCCTCGGCGGCGGATCCGAAGTCCTCGAGGAACCTGCGGACCGTACGCAGCCGGAGCCCCCTCGCGTCCATCTCACGCGCCATCGACATCGCCCTCTGCGAAGCGGTGAACAGGCAGTTCCCGTCTGAAGAAACCTCCCCGCCGTGGGAGAGCCTGAACACCACCGATCTAGACGAGTCATCCGACAACGCGGCGTTGCCTCCGTCGCCGTCGCCGACGGGGAGCTTCCAGAGGACCCCCTTGGCATAGAGCTTCTTCAGATGGCGCCTCTGTTGGTCCTCGAGCCCAACCACGTCGTCCCATCCCCCCGTGACTGTCGTCGCCTCGGCTGCGACGGCGATTGTCTGGTCGACGGCCAGATCTACTGCCGCGGCTGCGACAACGGCGGCGTTATTGGTTGGATCCCTCCAGGCAGGAGAAGAAGTCTCGAAAGTTGTTTCCGCGACGGCCGACGAATCGCATAGTAATTTCCCCATTTCAAAACCCCGTTTTCCCTCTCTCGTCGGCGGCTAATCGGAGAAATGAATTTTCTGGTTCAGTTTTTTTTGGGGGGGAATTTTTTTTGGAGGGAGGGAGGCGAGGTTGAGAGAGAGGAAAAGAGAGAGAGAAAGGGAAAGAAAGTTAGGTTTAACGGATAGATGTACGACGAGGGAGAGTGGCTTGTACACGTGGCACCATCTTAGGTTGTCTGACCGAGACAGTGGGACCGAAAGAATGGGCGAACATTAGCCAGATATACTATTTACTTATTTATTATTTTGTATTTCTCAATTTATTGTTGCTGTTGGCAACGGCATCTATTGGTGGCAACTCGCATATGCGTTAATGCCAGCTCCTCGGCCTTCGCGATGGTTTTTATTTATTCATTTATCACTATTTTCCACTTGTACAAATCTGAGTTATGAGATGCGGACGCGTGGGCATTGGTACGGTTTTCAATAAGAAATAATAAAGAAAACAATATGCAAACAACGGTACTATTTTGGTAAAAAAAAAAATATAAATTACCATTGGTAACGGCTATTTCAGCGTTTTGGATTAGAAAGAATTAAATCGGTTGTTATATAGTAATAAATTTGGTTACTAAAAAGACCGATCAGAAAAAGTGTTTGCTAAAAAGGTTTAGCACTCTTACTATTACATATGCAAAAATTTATGGTAATTTTGTTGTCACATTTGTATCATCCTAACATGTATGTTTCCGTTTTTTCTTTTAGGGTAAATACAATATATTAGCCATAACTAGTAAGTAGCGGATGATTATAGCTACAACTATCGAAATACAAATTATTAGCCATAACTATTAAGTAGCGGATAATTATAGCCACAACTATCGAAATACAAATTATTAGCCATAACTATAGTTGTGGGTCAAGATTTGGCTAACAGCTCATTACTGTTTTCAAATTTTTAACGTAGAAGGCCATGTCAGCATCGTAAAAAATATGATATGATGACTGCCACGTGGGAGCCAGCTCGGCATCGTAAAAGCTTAGTCATCATTACTAACAGAAGTGTTAACGAAAACTTATCGATTGGCTAATAATTTGTATTTCGATAGTTGTGGCTATAATTGCCCGCTGCTTAATAGTTATGGCTAATATATTGTATTTGCCCTTTCTTTTACAAGTATAATAATGAAATACCTACCAAACTATCAAAGAAAAAAAAAATCTACCAACCGCTCATATAAGAATAGAAAACATTCTTTAAAAAAAAAACAAAATTGACAACAAATTGTAATGCAGGCTAATTAAGGTTAAAACTTAACTAAAAATTCTCTACGATCATGAATTGTGATAATTGCTACTTTCAAATCTAAAATGATTTTTTTCTGACAAGCTAATTAAGGTTAACACTTAATCTCACAAAAAAAAGAGATTAAAACTTAATAGAAAAAATTATTTTTTATTCCGATTTTATTTGACTTTCTATATGGAGTGTGAAATTATAGATATAAAATATTCATAGTTTATACTTTTATGGGCAAGTAGCCATTCATGCATGATGCTTCAATTAGGTAGAACATATGCACATTACTGACGACCCAAATGTCTATTCAATGTATAGATTTTATTTATTTGCGAGTTGAAATTAATTTTGTATGAATTTAGAAATTTGGTTCTCAATTTAAGCCCGTCATATCATCCGAAAAGTTGACCGGGTAGAATTCGAACCTAAAAATATCATAGTTAGAAATATCATAAGTAAAACCCAATAGAACGTTGAAATATCAAAGATTAACAAACACATACAAACCCTTTTTTCTTCAAATATGCAGTTTTCAGTGGAATTCTTCCATAGTTGTGGACAAGTAGTGCAAAAAGGGCTCCTAAACCGTGCGCCCCCTCCGCCGTCGAGCCGATCCACACTATCACAAAAGTATTGGTGTACAGAAAGGTGGTCAAAGTTTTATTAATTATGAGAACATTAGTATGAACGTGGGAAATGTGGTGCCTTCATTTGGATGGGACCTCCAAACAGCAAATCAAAGTGGGAATGAGCCAGAAAGCCACAATATAGGATTTGGAAAGATCCATATACGAATGATCAAAGTTGATGGAGGGGGACAAGACAAGGGAGCCCAACCCACCACAACTCTCTCTTGTAGTTAGTTGTGGGCATCCTAAGGATTCGTGGACTAGCTAGTTCGTAATAACTCACCATTCGAAAGTTGGTAGTAACGGATTCATTGTAAACTAATGTTGTAATTATAGTTTATATAATAGTATACACAACTCTACCGCATAAGCATAGTTACATTCGAAATTCTCTACTCATTCTGGCCGACTCGACCACCTACTAAAAGAAAGACTCATAATTAGAATAGTAATCCAACTCGGCCCATGTGCTAATCCCACCTACTAACTACTTAACCCATATAGCAACGGCCTAATAACAATACCACTAGTTTTTACCTATCTATTAGTTTCACTGAGAAAGTGAATTACATTAGACACCAAGATAGGGTTGCATTGCACTTGCACATCACATGATCGTACAAGCAAAGACATTCTCGTCACTAAACACTTGGCAGGGATGAACGCTAAGGGGACGAAAAGGCTCGGGCGGAGTGCAAAAGCATACATACGCAGGTTGTTGTTCTTCTTTCTCCCTTCTCGGTGGTTGGTCTTTGCTTTTACCCTTACACTCCACATCCTTTTGTTGCTTCAATACCTCGACGTGTTTATTCCCCAATTGCCTTCTCACCTTCTTGATCAAAGTTGGTGGGTCGAAGAATCCGATCACTACTACCGTCGCACTGTTCATGTCTGCTTGGACACTAGCCACACCTAAATTACAAGCAAGGAAATATCACTTCGGGGTCGATTGATATTGAAAAAAACTTGCACAATGGAAAATTCTTACCTTGCATTCTCCCCACGATTTTTTCTATATCACGAGCGCATCCTTCGCAGTGCATCAGTACTTTGAGGATCAACGTTTTGAGTTTTGGCTAGATAATAAATGATGTTAGTTCTACAATATTTATAAACATGATTATCCTTTGATAAAGCATGTAACCAATGTAGTCAAAAGCGAGTTTCTACGTAAAAACGTTTTGTTGATCTAGAAACGTAAAATCGTAATTTTTAAAGTTTTAAAGCGGAGTTTTTAACTATATAAGTTATAAAAACTGAGATTTTGTGTAGAAGCGTTTTAGTGAACTAGAAACATAAAATCGTAAGTTTTTAAGTTTCAAACCGCGATTTTGACTACATTGCGCGTAACTACAAAATTCTACATTTTGGAACTAAGTTCTATGGTAAGAAGTTATTCTACTAACACATTGAATTTAAGTGTATTAATATTTACAAACAAAACGGAATCTCATGAGAATTTTAGAAAGACCCTATTCATATATAAAATGTAGTTTATATATTATTACACCCAAAGCTAGTTTTAACTTGCGTTTACTTGGTTAAACTGGTTTTTTTTTACTCTAGTAACTTGCGTTTACTTCATTATTCTACTTAACAAAACTGAATCCTACAAGAGAGTAAAGTAAATTTATTATTCTACTCAGAAGGTAAATAAACTGAAATACGGACCTCCTGTGGCTTTGGTGTCTCCTTCTTTTCTTGAATTGGAGGCTGTGGTTTTGGTATAGGGGAAATCAACTCCACGTTCTTACTGTACTTCTTTTGCAATCTATCCAACAACTTCAAGGGATCCAAGTTATTCCCCTTTGCCACCACTATATCATTTTCGATCTCGATCAAAACATCTTCCACCCCTTGAATTAAAGAATAGAATTCGTTGGAGTTGTAAATTCTAAAAACATGCGTGGTTATATTAAGAAGACAATGAGTGACTTCAATTTACCTCCAAATTCAAACAGGCAATCGTAAACTTTGGTAGCGCATCCTTGGCAGTGCATAAGAGCTTTGAAGATGACTTCTCCCCCATTTTTCTGAAACAACAACTCATGTTACTACGGAAAAAAATGAAGTATATTTGGAGAGAGAGAGAGAGAGTATGGGATTTTGAGACAATGGATACCTTTGCCATGGCTTCTTGAAGTTTTTGGGTTGGGATTGATAATTTGAGGTTTGGGGTGGGTTAAAAGATAAAGGGTGGCGGTTATTGGTCTTAAGACAATAATAAATTACATGGGTTTCAATGCTAATTGTGCACCAAAGGTCGTTGTTGGGAAACCCTTGGGAGTAGAACAGCAATAATTCCACGAGTATGGGAATGGTCATTCTCCAATTTTGTTGGTCCCTTCAATTTCCCACTTGTCATTACTGGAAACTGAACAGTCCCCTAAATTATAAATGAAAATGTACCTTATGATTTTCTCTTTTGCAAGTATGGATATTAATGGTGGAGAATGGCTTGTCTATTTGTCTGATGAAATCAGATGAAGCATGTCATGCATTGTTTTAGTTCTGGTCATTATCTTTCTATTACAGTTTTATTCAATTCTTAAACGAATTCATTTTAATCCTCCACTGCATTGTACCATATTCACCCATCCGTGAATACTATTTAGTTCATTACTTTGTTTTTATGATGTAAGTTACGATTCGGTAACTCCTACCACCAACTAGTCGCTGTAAATTTGTCCATTTACTTTCTTCTTCACCAATATGGGACATTCGTAACTGCGTTTTTGTTCATTGAAGGCAATTATTTATTCACAAATGCCGTTACTTTTCTGTTCTTTTTTGCAAATGGGGGGAAATCTTTGAAAAAAGAAAAAGAAAAAATGCTAGCTCAGGGTCGGGAGGAAAACAAATGTATACATCACAAAAACAAGGACGCCACGTGGAGAGCGGTGGAGCAGCCTCCTAGCACGGGTCAGAAGCTAGGTGGCAGAATTTCCAGGATCTTCACTCATCCCACAGTTAACAACCACCGAACTTCGCGCTCTCCGGACAAAACACCAAACACAAACATCATCCGAATACACATTCCTCCCACAATTCCCGAATCTCACGTCTGAGTAAACAAATCGCCGATTGGTCTCCTACTTCGTCGTCGGCGAAAAAAAAGAGTTCTTTCTTCCACCATCGTCACTCACACCTGCAAAACGAATCCGCGGCACATCAGGATTTCCCGGTGCATTCAAATAATTTGCCTCTTCGGAGACAAACAGGTCCTTTTTTTTTTGGGCAGATCCATTAACCTTTCCTCAATTTGCCTAAATTGTTGAACTGATGTCTATTTTGCAGAATAGAAAAAGATGTCTGGGGTTTCTCTGGCCGTGGGGGCAAGACCAGATCAACCTGCCGCCACGGCAAGCGAGGCAACTTCATCCACAAAATCCGGTCCGAAACAACCACCACCGTCTCAGCTACAACAACAAACGATGATGGGAGGGTTGATGGGATCCCTCCGAGTGATCGAGCTCCAATTGGTAGCCTTCATCATGGTCTTCTCCCTCAGTGGCCTTGTCCCCGTCCTGGACCTAGTCTTCCCGCTCTTCATCTCCGCCTACCTCATCGTCCTCTCCCGCCTCGCCTTCCCTTCATGTCACGGTCGAGGAGGAGCCACCCCCGAGATCTTTCAGGGGAGCCGGCTGTTTCGCCTCTACGTCATCCTGGGGACCGCGGTCGGGCTGTTCCTTCCCCTGGCTTACGTTCTCGGTGGGTTCGCCAGGGGAGACAACAGCGCGGTCCGGTCCGCCACCCCGCACCTGTTCCTGCTCTCTTGCCAGATTCTCACCGAGAATCTGGTGAGCGGGCTATCCCTCTTCTCGCCGCCCATCAGGGCCCTGGTGCCCCTGATGTACACGGTGAGGAGGGTGTTTGTGATCCTGGACTGGACGCAGGATATCTGGTTCCAGAAGACTCTGGCGCCTGACGCCGACATCGCGGTATGTAGTCGCTGTCTTGTACTGAAAACAGAATTCCCCTGTAATTCATTTGTTGCTTACAACAATATTTTTTTGCAGGAGGTGGGTTGGTATTGGTTTGGGAAGGGCTTAGCAGCAGCCAATCTGTCATACTTCTCAATCAACCTGCTCTGCTTTCTAATCCCGAGGTTTCTACCTCGAGCATTCGAGAAGTACTTCAATGACAGGGACAATGGCGAAGAGATGCACTCCAAGATGGCCGAGGATAAGCGTTCTGCTGCTGCAAAATCGCAACAGCCGGAGAAGAAATCCGATTGAGAGAAGAAAAAAAGTCACATATATGTATTTTCCCCTTTGTTCAGTTAAATTTAGCTTTGATTTCTTTAATCGGTTGACATATAGCTAGAGAAAGAACGTTTCTTGTTTTGCTCTTTTGAGACATATGAATATGTGAAACACCCTCGTTTCAGTTTCTTATGCAAATTTTGTCTCCTTTGCATGTTTTATTTTTCCTGCATTTGCATAATATGTTTGATTCTTCATATGAACAACATTCCTAAAACGATGACATTTAGTGACAAAAATTTGCGACATAAAATAATTGCCTCCTAAAATTGCCTCATAAAATTTGCGACTAATATATTTTTTGTCTCTAAAAGTGAAATTAATTTTTTTCCCCGCAAAGTCAGTTGTTATAAAATCAGACATACAAAGAAAATAAAAAGAGTACGGGAGTCGACCAATAGTCGAACTCCCGATGAGAGGGCCTTTTATGCCACATGATGGGCAGCCCTATTGAGACAGCGGAAAACAAAACAGTAAGAAACCCAATTACAAAGAGAAGCCGAGCTCTGAGCATCCTGCAAGATAGTTTCATCCTGATCATGAGCCAAGTCACCTGTCTGAGGCAATCCCACCGATAACAGGAGCTCTTCTGCGTGCCTCTAAAAAAAAATAATAAAATAAACAAAACACATAAGCGTCCCCACTGAAGGCAACTAAGCTCCACCAAATGGACTTAAACAAGCCATTAAGGCTTAGTCGGATACACCGAAACCAAAACTATGTCATTTTTTTAAGAATAGTTAAAGAAAAGCAAAAAAAAAAACGGACGAAATTGACAAATAAAATGAATAAAAGGGAGGGTAAGTATCAAAAGAAAACAAATAAAAATTACTAATAAATAATTAAGGAATTAAAAAGATAAAGGAAATAAAAAATGACTAAATTGCAATAAAGTAAAAAAAGGAAACTGAGGAGTCTGTTTGAGTTACTTACCTGGAGCAGTTACGCCATTCCAAAAGGTGGGAAATTGTAATTAATTAAGAAACCACGAAAACCTTTCAACTTCCCTAAACTAAGAAAATACTAAACGACAGAAAAGTAAATACTATTACCAAAAAACTAAGTAAATGCTAAATTAATAAAAAAAACAACAGTAACGTAAATCTTTTAACTTCCCTGAACCAATACACCACCGAGCCGCCGCCGATGACTCCGAAATCTAACCAAGCCTATGACTTGTCGTCGGCGACGACCATGAACGAGCTCTTGTTGCAGTAAGGTTGTATTGCATTTAGTTTTTAATATAATTGAGATATCACATACAACAGCACATTTTTTAAAAGTGTCGTGTAAAGTTTTGCCCTCTCATTTAATAACAAGTGAATTTTATTATTATATTTATATTTTTAACTTTGGGAGGCAGAAATTTATTTGCTACTATATAAATATTTTTAGAGGCTAAAATAGTGGTTGCTATATCCTAAGCTTAAGAGACAAAAATATATCTTCCCTCCAGAAAGAAAAGAAACCCTCCTCCCTCTATCCCTTACACCGCTCCCTCTCTGAGTCTTAGTTATCAGTTAGGGGTTTCCCCTATTCTCCTTCCTTTTCCCCGGAGAAAAAAATGGTTTCCAAGTTCCGTCGATACCGAGTACCTAAGCTTCTTCGGCGGCCTGGTCTTGGTTACCACTGATCAGATCCTCCTGAAGGTCTTCAACTACGGCATCATCGTTGATAGAAGGTCCGTTAGCGATAGGAATAGGATCTGACTCGGATTCCACTAGACTTTGCCATCAACATGTGGTAGAAATCTGTTACGACGATGATCATACGATCCTTCTTTTTTAGGCGTTCATTCTTTCTTTGGTTTATGTTTTTTCTGGAGATTATGTTTAATGAGGTGAGGTGACCATGTAGTTTCTTCAAGGGTTCCATCTCACTTGTGGCTTGCCCGATTCAAAAGCTAATTACGGCGATGATCATCCTTCTTATACTTATTTGCAGGTATATGCCGCCGAGGGGATTAATGATCTTTATACTGTGCGGCAGAATTGATACAATATTAAGAATATATATATGTGTGATCTCGCAAATGAGACAGAAGGCATAAGAGGATATCGGCTTTGTACTGAAGAATCCGGGTTCTCGGAGGAATCTCATCAACTATCAACATAATGAGTTTTCAAGACTCCAAGCTAATTCAAAGGACAAAGTGCACTTTTATCCTTTGAATTTCTCCTTGTTTTGGAATTATGTTATTTGTTTCTTTTGGTACGAGTCATTTTTTTTGTATCAATGTTAAATTAAAATAAATTGAAAGGATGTGTGTATATTTTTGTACTTTCTTTAATACATTTTACAGAATTTGATTTTATCTCCTCGAGAGAATGTGTTTGCTAATTACTTGCAATTAAATTGCATCTAGAAATAAAAGGAATAATTATGTAAAAGTAAAATTAGTGACAAAAATTAGCACATTGTTTGTTACTATAGATTAATTTGTCGCTAAATGTAACATTAGTGGCAAATATTTGTGCTACTAAAGTGAGAAAAGGTGACGATAAAATGGTAATTCAAAAGTGAAATTGGCAACAAAATTATATGTCGAGAATTTGTAAACTAGAGGCAGATAATATTTATCGCTAACATCTGCCGCGAAAGAGATTTAGCGGCAACACTCTTGACAACACACAATTATGTGTTGCTGCTACAGAGCTATCGTGGCACATAAATCACTTATCGTAGCAAATAGCCTTAGTCGCCAATTGTCATTTTTCTTGTTGTGGATTATTCCCCATTATATCAATGTTCAAAATGATGTCACACCCCTCGAACATAAAGAAGAAAGCCTGCAGCTTTGAGGTCGCACATTAGTATCGAAAGTATATTAACAATCAACACTCGGAATCTTCGTCTTCCGTCTTCCTCTTCAGCTACTGGCTAGGTAGTTACCGTCTCGGCGAGCTAGACTACTGAAGCAAGTAATGGCATCGCAGGGAGGAATCTGCAACAAGCTCCCATACCCTACATTATCTAACTAGACCTTGCTTTATTGATGTAATGCTAAACAAGTCCACCATCATTCAGATGCAGCACAACTTCATCGCCGTTCATAGACAAACTCAGTGGCATCAACGACGACAAAGACAAAGAAATACTTGCTCCTAGACGGTCTTTCATTTTACTAGCTTCTCCGGCAATCAAACGAGTGACTGATGGCCATATATTCCATACAATATTGTCCCTCCTTTTGATAGAGTATGGGATCAAATTAATAGAATATTTGTATATTTTATATCTACTGTTGTAATCAGTTTATATAAAATTTCACCGTTTTGATAAATAAAATGGATTGATTCTCTCTCAACATGGTATCAGAGTTTCCCTGACTAAAATCGTATTCGTCTTCTGTTGTTCTCACCCTTCTAAGGTTTTTCATTTTTTTCTTTCTCTGCTTCGATCTCCAAAGTGATGACTAGTAAATTATACATGTTTTAAGGTCCCTTTTAAGCCTCTTTGTTTAGTCATTCGACAATTTTTTTAGCCAGTTTTACGCTTGGTTTGTGGCTTTAGTATGTTTCATGTCATGATGAATGATTTCGAGGATATTTGGACGAGAAATACAAAAAGTAAGAAAGAATGGGAGATTTAGGACGTTTGGAATGATCTCAGAAGACTTTCTGGAAGTTCTCACGGCTAGCCTCACGCCCATGGCCCTAACCGTGAAAATTAGCCTTGAAAATTTCATGAGAAAATTTCATGATGAGCAATTCACGGATACTCTCACAGTCGTGACTTGGAGTGTGAACACTCCACGAGCCGTGAATGAAGACAAAAGCTTTCCCAATGCGATGTCTGTCCATTTAAAATATCAGACTAGGGTTTTGTTCACGGGTGGCCGCATGGCCGTGACTGCACCATGAACAGAGGCGGGGGGAGCCCTTGAGGAGAGGGTTCCTAGGACCCCACTTAGCAAAAAAATTGGACACTAAAACCCTTTACATATATGTGCTTTAGCATGATTCTTGAAGTATAGGACCCCATACTTTTGCCAATACTAACTCAGGTGAAGACCCCAATCAACTCGAAATTTTTAAGGACCCTAGTCCCGTCAAAGTCTAGCTACCCCACTGCCGTAAACGGTCTTCCACATTGTCTATTTAAGCGCCATTAAGCCTACTTGAAAAGGGAGTTCGGCCACCAAACCCTAAAAACGATCAGAAATAAGTTAGAGAGTAGGAGAGGAGGTTCCCCATCCATTCTACCCGAAAGGAGTCACATTGGAGCATCCGATCAAGTCATCCATGATGGAAATCGGTTCTTCTTTATGTCCTTGTTCATTTTTTCATTAGCCATGAACTAATCCTTCCTTGTTGTTTGGATTAGATGAACCCTGGTTGTATGATAATGATTGATTGATATTGCATGGATTTTGATGTTTATTATCTTTGATTTGTCTATGAATGATATCTTTGGTATGTGATAGAATGAATGCCTATTGCATGATTGTATGTTTCGTGTGTATGTTGAGAAAAAGATCCCCATAGATTCGATAAAACACTCATAGATGGAGGGAGAAGGACCTCAAACTACTAGAAGATGGAGGGAGAGGGACTTCTGGATTAGGGTAAACCTAATAGAAGGAGAATTAATCTAGGTCAAAGAGAAGATCATATCTATATTTTAATCGACTAACAGGGTGTAATGATAACATCGCATTCGCACATGTTTTTTCCTTCATTTCTTGATCGTTTAGCTAGCGATTGATCGTTCATTGGCCTAATAGAAGGAGAGGGACTTCTGGATTAGGGTAAACCTAATAGAAGGAGAATTAATCTAGGTCAAAGAGAAGATCATATCTATATTTTAATCGACTAACAGGGTGTAATGATAACATCGCATTCGCACATGTTTTTTCCTTCATTTCTTGATCGTTTAGCTAGCGATTGATCGTTCATTGGCCTATTTTACGCTAGGTTGTGTTCTTATGTCATATTTCAGGTCCTAGAAGATATGGCTTGAGGTCGAGTTTTGGGACATTTGGAGATGAAAGAAGGTCGATCGCGAAAATCGGACAATAGGGATGCTGAGAAACACACTCTCTATGCTGAAAAACACGACCTTGTGTCAGAGGCCATGTTTTTCCTCTGCACTTCACAGAATCGTCATTTCAAAACACGAACTCTTCTGATTAAAACACGACCGGGTTTTTGGGCTTAGAGGCCGTGTTTTTGCACTTGTGCGGGTTTTATCGAAGAGGAGCTCATATTTTGAAGGGATTGAATTTTGAGAGGAAAAAACAGAGTTCTAGAGAGAGAAAGTGAAAAGAACAAACCATAGGAGCTATTTCGGAGTGGATTTCTCTCCATTGAAGCCCATATTGCATCCCCAGGAGTGAAGATTGACATACCAAAGCAGATTATTCCCATCTTTATGAGTATGGCTGCTTTGATTTTGGTTTTCCTCTCTCTCTCTCTCTCTATGGAGTAGAACCTTTTCTCACTTGTGTATGAAGAACCCTAGTTCAATGTGTTAGGGATTTGAGTTGTAATGACTATTGGATGGATATATTGATTGGTTTTAATCGATTAAAGTGTGTTTATTGAGTCAAATGAATCCTGATCAACTTCTTTTGATTTCTGCTGCAACCTGAGATAGATAGAATTTGATTAGGTTGTTAGAACTTCTTCAATCGATAGGAGTGAATTGATTGTACGAGAGTCAGTCAATTCACTGCTTTGTACTGGAATCTGTTTCCAATAGTGGAGTTCTGTGTTAATTACCTTAGCATTCTATCTCGGTGAAGACTAGTCATCTATCGGTTAGTCTGTCTAAGAGGGCTTGGTCAGCTCAAGAGATTCCAATCTACTGTCGGATCTTCCGTAGTTTAATCAACAATAAATCAACCAATGGAAATTACAACTTGGACCTAACTAAGGAGCTAGGGGGACTCAATCCCGAGTGACTCTTCCCTTGCTTAAGAACTTCGAACGATTTACTATTTTCTTTCTGTTTAGTTTGAATTCACTTTCACTCACTTAGTCCCACTAGATAATAGAAGTTCACAGAGTAGGCAGTAGATCTAGATCCCGGGTTGATAAATTAAAATTACCCACAATTCATTTTATTTCTAAAGATTTGAATATGACATACCAAACACAAGATTTCATTTGACAATGATTCTACACGATAATTCATTTTACAATGAAATGAATTCTCGATTCATTTGGTACCAAACGTGAAATAATTTGAATTTGAACAACATAAATTTCAAACTCACGAAAGTAAAATATATAGAGTTAGGGAACCAAATGAGATAACAAAAAACTAACGTTAGTGGGCATCAAAAAACTAACGTTAGTGGGCATCGAACCATATAGAGTTAAAGAACCAAATGAGATAACCAAAAACTAACGTTAGTGGGCATCGAACCATAGCTAGGCTGTAGCATGCGTACAGCTCCATTAGGTTAAATGACTTCATTTAGTAAATTGTTGCACAAAATTTATTATTATTTTGGTACGTTAATTACTACGTAATTTTCGAATACCCAAACTTTCATTCGTGTTTTTCAAAATTCTCGGGGGGCCCACCCAGGCCCGGTGTAGCGCCGCCCTTGGTGGCCACAACTCTATGCTCGCAAAGATGATTGTTTTTCGGGTAACCACAACTAACCCACACCAAACCACAGTAGCCAGTGGTTACTCATTAACCACTGCGATGCAGATTGTGAGTAGCATATTTATGATTTTGTGGATGTGGTTCACCCAACCTGCCCATTTTTAGATTTTTTCCGGAAATACCACCAAAAAACAAATTCCATAAATACCACTCATTCCCAAAAAAATTCATAAATTCCACTTTTTACCCAAAAACCCCGCCCCCTTATGGCGGTATACAAAAGGACCATTGGGGGTAGCCGTGGTTTTCATTTCACCCTCATACGGTTTTCACTTGGCGTAATAACCGCTGGGGTAGCCGTGGTTAACATGGAGACCCAATCTAAGCTGAATCGTCAAACGAATGTAACTTTGCGCTCGGGTATCCGATCGTAATGAAATTTATTTTGATTCCACATTAATTTTTTGAGATCGCTCGGGATATCGGATCTCAAAAAACCGTGGCTCCCCGTTTTCAACCCCTATGTAGTGCTATGCATTGCTTATTTAGGATGAACAGATCAGTACACATCAATTGCCATTAATTTGGAAGATGATGATTACCTCAAATGAATGAATCTTTCTTTTCATGTCAACACCAGCTAGCTAGCTGTTCTCGACATGCAGCTGATAACTATTTGCTATCATGATGATCCTCATTACTCAAGACAGGATGGTGAAATAAACCCTGTCTTGCCCTCTCACAATTACAAACTGTGCGTGCACCCAAAAACACACAGTTACTAGCTAGCTATAGCTATACAATCATAACAATAATAACTCAACAGACAGCAGTGGTTGAAAAGTTCTCCTTTTATCAGCCAGCCTTCATCATGATCACAATCATAATACAAGGCCGTGACAGACTACTGACAGTATCCATCAAAAGAAGCAGCAACAGAGAGAGAGGAGGGGATTTCATTCCATTTAAACGAGCCCCTCCAAAGAAGGGAGTAGACGAGAAGTAGTACCATAAACCAATAGAATACACAAAGAAAGAAAACAAAATGCCTCCTGTTTCTTTCCCAGTTTTGAGAAACACTGGCCACAAAGTTCCCCAAACCCACTTGGTTTGTCTGGAGAATCTTTTTCCATGACTATAAAAAAAACAATGAGCCAAAACTTGCCACTACTGCTCAGACTCGACCTCACATGTACACTAAGGAAAGAAGAGGGATGATGGTGAATTATACATAGGGAAGGAACAGAACACAACAGAAGTATACGATGAGAAAGGGGTGTTTCATTTGGGTGTCACTGGCACTTGGCGTTTCTACCAGGGCCTCCATAGTAAAAGTAATGACCCCAGTCGCCATTGCTGCCAGTTTGAACATCGTAGCAGTTGGACTGCTCAGTGAAGGTGCCAAGTCCCTTGGGAGCCTTGAGATTGTTGGAATCATCCACAACTTGAATGTTCCTGAAGTAGCTCGACTTCCCAAACCCTTCCTCGGGGAAACGCCCACTCCCCATTTGAGTCGAGGTGTGCTGCCCATCTGCTTCTGTGTTGACCACCTCACCTCCCCTCTCAATCATGGAGGCACTGTCTGCTAAGTATGAGAACAGAAAAGATGGCCAATACCTTAACACATAGTCGTTTCCAAACTGCATCCACCAGTGCCCTTCTTTTGGATCCTGCACGCACACAACACACAAGAATGCTTAATCCCCTCAACACAAATCACCACATGGCATTAGCTTAGCTATCAGGTTAATGAAGGACAGATAATAAACCATTTTGCTCATAACAGGTTTCGGCTTGAGACTCAAAACCGCGTGCAGCTACAAATCAACTTAAGCAGTTCGGTCCAAACATCTACTCTAGCAACATGGCCAAACTCTGCAGTTTGAAACTTGCATTGCCAAGATCCAAACACACAAATCTTTACCATGTTCACATGCATACTTCAGGTCAGATATAAGCCACACAAGTAACTACACAGTCTACACTCATTGTCCTATCCTTTGCCTGCGTCTACACTAGATATCTACAAAAAGATCAGCAGAAGATGCTAGCTTTTTCATAATGGAAACTGCATATGAATGAGAGGACAATGGTCATAGGCTTGTGATTGTTAGATTTACCTTCCAGATAAGGATACTGATATCATATTGGGAATTGCGGTAGCCAGAAACAGGAGAGATGCTTGCACCCATTGCTATCTCACTGTTGATCCGGATAAAGCCTGAGCATAGCAGATTGTAGCACCCAGTTGCTTGATAAGCATCGCTCTGTAGATGCATAGTTTAGATTTCTGTCCGAGTCAACGAGCAATCTCAGGTTCATTAGAAGAAATGAGTTCATGAAGCTTACTGTCCAGTAGGTGAAGAGCCTTGTGTTGTTGTCACCATACAGATCTGGACTAACCTATTTTATCATTAAAAAACATGAGATGATGGGATTATAATATAGTATCCACAGAAGATGACAAGGAATCAACCGTCTTTGTTAATTCATTATCATGGGTTCAATAATTTTGTGTTGATCACATGAAAGAAAGGACAGGATTGATTATTAAAAATATGCTATATACCTGCCAACCAGCTTCAATACTGTTGAGATCCTCACCAAAGGATCCTCCCAATATCCATAACTGAGACAGGCTGAACTCATTGGGTTGTTGTATCTTTGGTTCCCAAACGCTAACGGTGGCCTTTGCTCCATAATACCTATCTCCTTGGACATATGCTATCGCGTGCTAATGAAAAAAAAAGGAAGAGCAAACAATTAGGAAGAGTATAAGACTCCAAGTAGAATCTTTCCACTGATGAGGAAATGAAGAGACTTTACTTGGTGGCCACTCTGGTTAATGAGATCAGGTTCAGCTGATTTGGGCTTTGGAATGCTTCTATGCTTCTTCTTACCATATCTTTTCACAGAGGTAGCTCTCACAACATCTTCCTGCTTTGTTCTTCTGATTGGAATGGTTCCTTCAGGGCATTTACCATTGGCATGCCACAATTGCTTGATAAGATTTGCTCTCACTTTAGATTATGCTGCAGCAGCAGCCACTTTGTTGTCATCAAACAGTCCTTCAAGGTGGAAGCTAGGCCTCATCTGTACAAACCCTCCCACGTCAGACAAAGAAAAAGAAAATCAAAAGCACAAAGCTTTAATGGAACAGCAAGAAGAACTATTACAGACCTGAATTTTGTGGTCTTTGAGGTAAGGATGGTCAAAAGCTGGCTGGCTGGACATGGGAACACAGTCAATGATATCTCCATCCGGGCTCTGCCGTAATCAAAAGAAACAAAACACAAATGAGCTTAACATGACCCTTCTCAATGCTGTAAGTTACCCAATAAAAGAAAATTTTCAGACACCAGGCCCCTTCTGTTAGTCATTGGAAAGGATTGAATAGTTATTTTTCAATATGCATAGAGGGGAACGAAGAGGGAATATAATAAAGATGTGCACTGAGGATTCCACATCATATATTCAGTTTCTTGTGTTATTTATTGCTCAATAAATCCCCCGAAAATGAAATCATCATATAGTGAGAGTCTGAGAGAGAGAGAAAGAAAGAAAGAAAGAGAGTAAAGAGGAGTCTAATAATCTTAGCATCTTTTTGACTCGCAAAATGAAAAAAGAAGCGAGAATTTCCAGGAAGGAAAAGTTGGCATCTAATGCTCACTAGAAAGAAAAGCAGAAGAGGGAAAGGAAAGGGAGAAGGTGGGGAAAAAAGAAGTAAACTTGAAGACAGCCATTTGCATTCATCACTGGGAAAATACAGGAAACGGCAAGAAAATCAAATCAGTAATGCCAAGAAAATAAGAAGCAGACACATCTACCCACACTTTCTCAGAAGCCAAACAAGCAAGCAGCATTAGTATTGGGAAGAGAAAAGGGGTAAGAAGAAGGGACCTGAATGGACTTGGTAGATGGCTTGTTCAATCGATTCAAGTGCTTCTGGACGACCAGCTTCTGTTTTGAAACCGAGGAAGAGTAGAGGCGAGCCCCAGAGGCAATAGAGAGCAAACCCAACATGCTTAAAATCGAAAGAAGCAATCTTCTGCTAAAACCCATAATTTCACAAGGAAGAAAGTAGCTCAGCTCAGTTAAGTGAGTGCGAGATTTTTCCTCCTCGCTACTTCCTTATCCTGCGCACCCTTGGAGACAGAGCAGCTAGCAGCTGCAACTTTTAAGCTGAAGCAGGCATGACCACACTACTAACTAACTTAAGCATGTGCAATGATATTAGAGATGACAAGAGAAATGGAGAGAGAGAGAGAGAGAGAGGAGGTGAGAGATTTGTGGAGCGCCTCACAGTCACAGCTCCCTTCTCTTCTTCTACATATCCTACGCACAAACTGCCTCAGAACAAGGACAATTTGGTGATGGGATGGCTGCTTTCCCCCCAAAAAAAAGAGAGAAAAACTCTTTGTCCACTTCCTCCCACTCTCCCTTTAAATAAAAACGCACTTTCTCTGTATAAAAGTACTCACCTTTCTTGACAATTCCACTATCAATCTGTCTTTCCCTTCTCCCCATTTTCTTATTTAAAAGGGACCCTATGCTGTTAATGAAAAAAAAAAAAACGAAAAGATCTGGATGCTCTTATTGGGCTTGTGAAATGTTACGGTCCAAAGATAATGGAGACTTGAGACAATAAAAAAAAAAAAAAAACTGCAGGCCTGCCTAGCTGGACTTGCTGAGAATCCCAGTTACACATTGTTTGAGCCATCTGGTGGGTCGAGGCATTGCAGGCCTGCTTAATAAAAGTGACAGGCATCTCCTACATTTTGTGACATAGATCTCTCAAGAGATGGCAATTTCGACCTGACCCGTTTTATCCGAACTGTTTGACCTATTTTGGGCGGTTCGACCCAACCCGTAGGCGGGGCGGTGCGGGCATGGGTATTCTCATCGACCCGACCTGCCCTGACCCGCCCTATTCTCGACCCGTTTTTGTCTAAATTACATGTAATCTTAGTCAAATTACTTAGAATTTTCCTTTTATTGGATCATATTTTAGCTATAATAAAGTTGTAAATTAGTGAAAACCTCAATTTCTCTGTTAATTTAACTACAATTGTCATAATATTGTTTGTTTTCTTAGTCTTATAATAAAAATAACGAATATTTCTAATGTTTTTCATATAAATTGCATGCCCATTGGGTCGATCTACCCGACCCGCGAACCGTGATCAATTACCCGACCTGTCACGAAGCAGGTCTGGGTACCAAGAAACCCGCCCCGGACCTGCCCATTCCTACTAATCTCAGTACATACATTCTCCACCTCCGTCATTAAAAGCTATGTGTGAAGCTAAAAACAGTTAGAAGAAGGAAATCTGGAGAATTGAATTATGCTTTCTGCTTTGGTTCGCTGCTAACTGTGTCATCAATCAGCCAATCACTCCTCTCCTCGGCCGTTTTAGTGTCACTGCCTAAAACCCATTTCTTCACAGGGACAAAAGTCAAAACAACCAAGGCCCAATGCCATATTCCATCAGCCCGCCTTTGTACTTTTGTTAGTTAGAGCCCATGGGCTTCAATGTTGGCAGAAGGTGGAGTCCAGGATAGAAGCAACATGGAGAAAGAGCAGGAAACCAGGAAGGGGGATGGATACGTTAGTAGCAAGAGATTAAATTAGTATTAATAATATCGGGTAAATGCCACATTTTGGTTATTGGAATTACTAAATTATATTATATTTAGTCATTAGAAAAACTTACTTAAATTTTGGTCACTTGAGTGAGTAGATACTTCATACTTTATGCATAGTATTATAGAGTAATTAAAATGAAATTGATTCCAGATATGATATTAAAACCATTAAGATTGGTTAATTGTGTGATGGAAAAGGAATATGTGACATTTTCCTATTATAACACTTTAAGTGGGTTAGTCGGAAATGTTTACGATAATAATATAAACTTTACTCATCAAACAACTTAAAATAGATATAGAGTTGTTGAAACGAAGTAGATAAATGCAAAATCAGTTAATTATAACTAACATTGAATGCTTGATGGGAGATATTTGATAGAACTTGTGTTGTCTTGCATGTATAGGAAAATTTTCGGGGATAAATACGGACTAATATTTCGTGAATATTTCACTGTATTTCAAATTGAGGCTTGTACCATTCTAGTTTACAATAGTAGTTATAAATGTTGTTGGATAATGGATATGTCTAGAAAAGTAAGAAAAGGAACCCAAATGAATGGCATGCATAGACAAGTAGCGATGACAATTTAATCGTCTCGTCGGCTATTAATTTATCTGATCGGAGATGTGGCTGGTATTATCCGACCTGTAGTAGCGCACATGTATCTACTTCCGTCATGTCTTGCCTCTCTCTCCGTCCCATTCTTTCGTCCATTCTATCTAATTTCTTACAATATGTATTCATATTTCTCATATATTGATATTTTTTCAACTAGTTAGTTTCGATCTTTCAACTAGTTAGATTTACTTATTCTATTAGCACTATTTTTCATTCATGAAGTGTTTTCCCTTTGTATTATCATAAAATGTAAAATTTTGCGTGTATTTTTTTCAAATAACATGTAAGAGTGGGTCGACATGCCTCATCCCATACCCGTGCGGGCTATAGGTGTCAAAATAGAACCCGACCCGACTAACCCGCCCGATCAACCCGACCCGCAAACCGAATTGACTAAAAGTCAACAACCCGTAACCCGCCCTACCCACAACCCGATTGACCCGCAACCCGACTAACCCGCAACCTGATTAACCCAAACTCGATTGGCCCGCAACCTGATTAAACCCACAACCCGATCAACCCGAACCCGATTGACCCAATCCCGACTAACCTGTAACCCGACCGACCCAACCCGAACTTCATCTAATCCACTTGAATAATTATTATATTATATAATACATAGTTTTTCAAATAAAGTTTTTGATGCTATAATTAAGTAAAATTATTTTTTCATTTTGTATAGGAAATTTAAAAAAATATATGAAACTCACTTGATATTATGTATTTTAAACTTGAAGGTCACTTGAACACTAAATTCTTTAAAAAAAATTAAAAAATAAATATAAAATCAGCACAATGTCAATATTAATAATTGAGATCATGGACAATTTTAATATAATATACTAATGAAAATTATTGTTAATTTAACTATGCAATAAAGTTATCAATTAAATATAATAAGTAATGTAATGTATTTGATAATTTGATGATTTTTAAAAAAATGGAAATTTTGATGCATTTAACTTTTTAGGAAGAGAAAGAAAAGGGAAATTTGGTTTTTTCAATTTTGACAAAAGAAAATTTTGGTGGTTTTGATTTGTGGGAAGAGAAAGAAGTGGGAAAGTTTGGCTTTTTTTATTATGAAAGAGAAATAAATAGGGAAATTTTGAGTTTTCAACTTTTGTGAAAGGAAGTAAGGAAGATTGAAATTTGGTTTTTCCATTTTATGGAAGAGAAAGAGGAGAAAAAATTGAGTGTTTCTAATTTATAGAAGAAGAAAGAAGGAGAGGAAATTTAGTATATTAATTTAATTTTTCATTTTATGAAAATAAAGAAGCAACACAAATTTAGTGTTTTCAAATTTTTGGGTTTTTTGAAATATTCGCCATTGAAATATGAATATTTAATTTTTATATGGAGCGAATGACTAATTAATTTTTTCTCATATGCTTTGAAGGCTAATATATATATGGAATTGTTTACGGTCTAATAACTAAATTAACCATTAGTTACAAGTTACAACAATAATTTGTTTTAGAAAATTTTACTTAATTTATCTACTTGGTTTCAATAATTCTACATTTATTGCAACTTCAACACTACATGATCATTATTTTTTAACACTAAGTAAAATTTGGCACATTTAAGTTGTGTTTGAGGTAAACTTTATTTCAAATCGAGGGTTAAACTTGGTCTGTTAAGTCATACGATTGAATTAGGGCTACAAACGAGCCAAACTGAACCGAGTTGTGATCTAGCTCAGCTCGAGCTTGAAACTAAAATGATCAGTTCGATCTCGGCTCGATTAACTGAATAAGCAAGCTCGGGCTCGAGATAAGCTCAGCTCGAAAATGGCCTGTTATGAGCTCAACAAGCCCAGCTTGATAATCAAGCTCATTAACACCACTAATCCAACCCACCAGCAATGAAGTTCCTAGAGGCCATGTAGATCCTTTATCCTTATCATCCTGCTCTATTAGTTTTAGAAATCAAATACACTTAAAGATGATGAGGATGTTTCGGATATAGCAGCACTTGCTTGTACAAGAGCAGGTGGTTTGACAGGAGTATGCAAAGAGTGGAATCAAGGTCAAGCAGTATATGGCAGAGAGATGCTTAGGTTAATATAATATTTCCAACCTGTTGTCTTTTGATGTCAATGCTAGGCAAGTGAGTTTGCTGTCTTCTGTTGTTGATGCGAGGTAAGTGAGTGTGCTGTCATTATTGCTAAGTAGTTAATGAGTTCCTCTATGCTAATATTTGTTTTCAATTGACGACCATTCTATTTTGCAGGGAATAAAGAAATTAATCCATTAAAAGAATTTCATGTTTCATTCTATAAGGTGATTTCTTTCTATTTGAATGACCTAACATGATAAATTATAATGGGGTTATTATTGATAAACAATACCCTAGAAGGTTAAAAGAATCCCCACTATTGACATGATTTTATGAGTTAATGGTGTTTGCAATGTATATTGGCCAATTTCGTATTTTGCATAGAGAATGGGTTCATCAAGAATGATGAACAAATAACAATAGTTGGTCGGTCCTCATGAATAACTAATGGATCATGTTGCTTCAATGAAAATCATAACTTTCTTTATTGTTTCATTTGCTTTGGAGTGACTCATGAGCTATAAATCTAGCTAGTTTGCGAGTCGGGCTCAACGAGTCTTCAAATCGATTTAGCTTGCGAGCTTAACAAGCTAATATGGGGGGAGCGTGTCGGAACTACTCCGAGTACAAATTGCAAGCTGGTAAGAATGTAAGAGCATTTAAGGGGATCAGATTCTCTGACATGAAAACTTCATACATTCACTTCTCTCGCTAGAATTACTCCTGACTTGATCGTCGAAAAACTAACGAAACCTTTATGTTCATTTTGCAGGCCCATACGTCCTAGTAACCGTGTCATGATACAAGGAGCAAAGAAGTGGAGTAAGAGTCCGGGATTGTTGCTCAAACAAATATCTGTTAACAAAGCTGAACTGAACTGAACGAATAACAACACAACGATTTATGTGGTTTCCCCGAGAACGGGACTAGTCCACGGGAGAGTATTACCTCTCCGAGCTGAAATATTATTAGGGTTTTTGTTCTGTCGTCTGGTTCTGGTTGGTATGGTACACATATATATATACATCACTCAACCCTCTCCAACTCTCGGCTACAGAAGGAGAAATAGCCCTAGAAGGCCTCTATACAAATAATACATGATGGAGCCCAATCCGCTAACAGCCTCCCCCAAATTGATGACTACTACGTAGCATCAATTTGTCAGATAGAAACCAATGACGGGATCGAGAAAACGGCTTAGTGAACAAGTCGGCAAGCTGGTCCTCCGAGACCACATGATGAAGACGAATAACACCATCACGAACCA